TCTGTACTTTCTCTGGAGAAAGCATTCGTCTATATACGTTGCTAATTTTTGCGTAGGCCCTAAATGTTTTACAGCACTGATAACATGCTTTACTTAAAAACAGAGGGTGGCAATATAGATAAGATCTAAATTTCTAACTGTCTCAGTGAAAGAGAAAAGGAAAATGTTATTTGCTTTTCTATATACACCATTTTTTAAATTAAAAAAAAAAAAACATCAACAAATGCCAGATAGATAAATATTAATATAAGGTTATGCCAAATGATCACTTTAGAAAAATGTAGGGATTACACTTCTTTTTTTTTTTCTTTTTTTCAGATGAAGTGTTTTCCACTCTTTCATACACATCCTCTTTACCATATAGTTAAACAGTTTTGAAAATATGCTCAGTTTAGGAGAAAAGTGATCACTGGGGCTCAGCATATGCCCATGTAGTTCAAAAGGATTGCCATACTGTAAATAAAAACATCAAGGTCTTTCCTACCTTGGATAGTTTACTCCAGCGTCCACTTTCATCAGTCATGAAATGAGACTGAAATCTGTTTGATGGCTTTATATGGAGCAGGATGATGCATGAGACCTGCATCATGTCAGAGAATGTAAGGTGACTGGACGATGACCTGTCAGTCAAAACAAGAACAAAACTTGTTTGAACATTAGAGTTGGGCAATACTGAAATCTTCTACTCATGATATATCTTTAAGAAAAATCATATACAAAAAAAAAAAAAAGGCTAAAGAGGGAGATGCAAAGCGCACATACAGACAGATGTGGACTAGAGAAGCAGCTGTTGTAATGTTCTTAAATGGCCACAAAGTTGCCCCAGTGTATAGGCAATAAGTGCTATTTTGCACGAGGCCATGCTGAGACCAATAAATCAGATCAATGGATCAATGGTAATGGTTATTTTTATTCAATAACACGTTTATCAACATTGATATATGGAATAACACAGGCCTATATTATAAAAGTCAGAAACTCACTGTGGTGAGATTTAAACAAGCAGTGGAGTAGCATGTTTCCAAATCAAATCAGATCAAATCAACTTTATTTATATGGCACTTTTCATACAACAGTAACACAAAGTGCCTCACAGAGGTTAAAAACAACAAAGAACCAAAATAGAAAAGAAAAAAGAAAAGAGAAAACCCAACCCTCCCAAAAAAAAAAAAGGCTTGAACCGACCATCATCCAGGCAAAGCTCCCAGACCAGCTGGTGGTACTCCCTGTGATTTCTTTTTTTATTTTAATTTGAACTGTGTCATCACTACATGACATCTATGATTGCTGATGGAGCATGTGAAGTGGAATTTCATGTTCTCTGGCATATAATATTGATCTAATAGTTGCCAAACTTAGCTCAGCTAGCTTGTTAGCATCTCATTATCTAGCAAAGAGTTGCCAAGGAACGCCATTCAGTTAGCCTAACATCAACAGGTGTTGGCAGAAAATAAGATTCTTTTAGCTTATTTACTGAACCAACCGACTCACATCTGTTTTCTTCCTTTTCATCCAGTTCATCAAAGACTGTTGTTGGTGCTGGGCCTGCTGGCATTTCATTTTTCAGCCGTCTGCACGTGTTTGTAGAATGCGAATTTGAAATGTACGCTGTGCACGCGACCTTTCAGGACCATAGACAGTCACAGATCACTGGCACGCGTTCACACTTGGCGCTCTGGTGTGGAGCGCTAATGGTGACGCGCGTGTATGTGTCGTTCCCTCACGAACCGCCGTGAACTGTACGGTGACGCGCACCCACAAAGTCAGTGGAGAGAGCGGCGCTGGGGAGGACCAATCACACGTTACCACAATAACGGTAGAGCCAATCGATGAGCAATACGAGGGTAGAGGCGGGAGGCGGGACGTATGGTAGACACCAACGATTGTTAACCCTTTGTGTACCATATTGAGCAGACGCCGACAGCGAGTGTTTATATTGGTAGGGACATTACAGAAGGGGCTGAATATTGGTAGGGACATGTCCCTGCCGTCCCTACCAAATCCTATGCCTATGGTCTCATGTACTCACAAGGATTTCCATTCTTCTGTGTGCAGTGTCTAATGCCCTTCGCCTGTCCTTTTTTATGCAGATTTTAAGGTACAGATCTGTGACTTACTTACTATATTGCAAACATTGAGTACAAATGGTCACGTCATTTTTTAAGCCACTGAGAGGAGACTTGGCGATTTGGTTCTCTTGCTCTCTCCTGTGGCTCTCTTTCTCTCACACACACATAGAGAGTGATAGCGTGAGCAAGCAAGATGTTTATTTCATCTGCAGGGCTCAAGACTGCTACTATTTAGTGGCATTTTGTGACCATGGAGCACCAGTGCCACCCTCAAATACTGTTATCATATAAAGTGGAGAGCTGTTAGTGTTCTTCCAGCTTACAGTGAATAAATCCTCACGTTTGAAGATGCCACAGCAACAGTTTAAGTTCGAGCTAACTGCTTATATCTGACTGTTGAGCAGAAGCTTTAAGTTCACAGCAAAAACATCAACACTTCTGGCCTGAGATGAGCTGATGCCTCAAGATAAAAGCACCACTGTGTCTGCTTTGATTTATTGAATTATAACAATGCTTTATGTAACTTTATTATACCAGTATTTTATTCATGTTTATTATAACAGTACTTAATTTAACTTATTACAACAGTACTTTACTAAACTTTATTGTGACAGTCGCTACTTCATTTACCTTTATTGTCACTGTAGTTCATTGAATGATTTCGTCTGGTTGAACCATTACAGTACAGCATTTTTTTCTCTATGTACAAAACAAACTCTTCATAATCAGACCCTTCACACTAAATGATATGTATTTGTAAAGAGGACTTTCTAGAACCTTAAATCATGAAAGACCATGCAAACATACAGAGAAGTCCTCTCAGATATCTGACTGGACCCAATCAAGCAGACGATTACAAATGTTTGAACTTTACATATAAAAAACTCTATTATATAAACATGATCTAGTGAAGTTTGTAAAGATCTGAAGTATTTTCAGACAGCAAGCAGTGGATTTGCAAACTGCAATGCTTATTGGTGCTTAGTGTAACAGGAGGGCCTAATCTAACAGCAGTGGGTGGTAGGCCTTGATGAAAGATGTATCTACAGCAGGACTGTCTACTTGCTTTGTTGTTTAATAGAGTAACATGACTTTTGCTGCAGTCAGTGGTTTAATGCTTGTGCTCGCTGTACATAGCAGATACTTTTTCAAATGCTGTCTGAATGTCTTGTCTCGTAGTCCGTACACAATAGGACTGAGAAGCCTAGGAAGGATCTGGACAATGATATAGGAAGCAAAGAGTATTTGTACACGATGTTTAGGAAACCAGTTCAGCAGAGCCTTTTTCAATGCAGGGGCTATATAGGTTAGCATACACAACAGTAGCTGAAATCCATGGAGAAGGATTGTATTCCTGGCCTTCTTTGTGTCTCCTTTAGCTGATTTAGCTGTTTTAGCTGTTTTAGCAGCTAAGAAGATCATGATGTAGGTGTAGAGGAGAGTGAGCCAAACACCAGTTAGGTAAATCATGTAAGAAACATCCCTCTTTTTTAAGTGTATAGGATGTCGAAACAGATTTTCATCTTTGCAGAACATTGTGGAATAAAATAACTGTACAGGCTCTGTTGCCAGTAGAATGAACAAATCTGGCAGGGCTGAGGCTGAACTCATGACCCAAATCCAACCAATCAGAACATAAGTTCTTTTGATGGTGCAGAGCTCAGCGTGTCGCAGTGGTAAACAAATAGCAATGTAGCACTCCACTGCCATGACAGCCAAATTTAATGGAGTGTTGAGGGTGGTGAAGATAGATAAGGTAACAATAAGGCAACATAAAGAAGCATTGATTCTGTAGAAGACGTAACTGAAGACAAACAAGCTGATAGTTGAAGTCAGCTGGATCATGTCGTTCACCACCAGGTGGATAAATAGGATGTAACGGGGATTCACATAAAATATCTGAAAGAGGAGAAAAGAAAAGAAAAGAAAAGAAAGGAATCAGTCAGTTGAAACATCTCATCTTTTTTTATGACTTTAATCTAGGGCTGTCCTGAGAACCAGTTTTTGGGGATGGAAGCTTCAGTGGGAAATATTGCAGTTAATACAAGCTTCCAGGAGTGTTGCACGGTATACTGGTACCAACGGTAGACCACGGTACTAAAACACCACGGTACATATGATACCATAATGTTGAAGTACTATAGTACCATGGTACCTCATGGTACCACTACCGTGGGATAAGTTCAAAGTCCAATCGCAAGAGGATGAGTGTCCATGCGCCGTCCAATAACGGTGCGCGCTGGCCACCTGGCACTTAATATTAGGNGAAGTCAGCTGGATCATGTCGTTCACCACCAGGTGGATAAATAGGATGTAACGGGGATTCACATAAAATATCTGAAAGAGGAGAGAAGAAAAGAAAAGAAAGGAATTAGTCAGTTGAAACATCTCATCTTTCTTTTTGACTTTAATCTAGGGCTGTCCTGAGAACCAGTTTCTGGGGGTTGGAAGCTTCAATGGGAAATATTGCAATTAATAAAGGTTTCCAGATGTTTGACTTTTTTTGACATCTTGCTTGGGTATCTGTAACCCTGTCACGTGTGGTGAAACTGTCACAGTTTCAGTAGTGCTGGACTGCTGCTAACTGACAGTAGATGAGAGTGAGTTGGACTCCTAAAACCATTGTTAAATTTAAATGTCCCTGTCTGAGAATAACTGATGATAATTAATGTTGATGTGTAATAAATAATATTTGATTACTATTTCTTAATTTGTGGGGTTTTTTTTCAAAAACACAATTTGTATGTTGATTACCATGGCAACAGCATTTGGGTCAGCCCTATTTTTATCTGTCTGTCTGTCTGTCTGTCTAGAACAACTGATAACTGAATAATACTTATCTTGATAATAAAATAAGATAAGCCTTTATTGATCCCCAAAGAAAATAAATAAATGCTAAAAGAAAACAGAGATATTAAGAAAATAAATGGAGATGTATGAAACTAGATAAAGGACAGAAGTAAAAATAGAAACTATACAATTAAAAACAAAACAAGGTATAGTGATATGTCAACAGCATACAACAAAATAATGTAAAATAGATAATGACACTTGGTGTTAATCTGTATTAAAGAAATACTTCACTCCCAAAATGACCTTTTAAAGAGTTGCTTTAGATCAAGGTAATTGTAGTTGACGAAAACTTTGCTAAAATTTAAAATTAGGTGTGGGGGCAAAAAACATTTTACTGAACTGAAATAACAATTAAATCTGTACTTTGGAAAAAAAAATTTAAAAACTAATTAAACGATATTGTGTACTTAAAAAACCCTCAGTAAAATAAAATAAAGATGAAGATATAGAGAAAATGTCTGTAGTTTACTTTCCCTTTTCAGTGGAGTCTGCCTTTGAAGAGAGCATAGATAAGTTTCACCTTTAGTTCAGTTCCCCGTCAGAAACGGCTGTCAGTTTGTGAAGTACTGAGCATACGACCCGATAAAGGAGACTTGGATGATACTGCATGAGTTGTTTGAGAGTCTGTAATGGGATGTTTTGATATAGTTTTGCTACGGTTAAACACAGACACCTATGACTTCAGTTCATCAAGAATTTTCTGTGTTTATGGATTTTTTGTTCATGCAGCCATGCAAGAAAAAGTTTATTTTTTATTATTTTACCCCCCAAAATTCAATGTATTATTGGTTGAGTACTGTTATGCAAATGGTCATTTGTGGAGTGAAGTGTTCTTTTAGTAAAAAAAATATAATAAAGTAAATAATGTGATAAAACATAACATATTAACATAATATAATATAATATGTTATAGTATGACTACAGTGTAGTAAATAATAAACGATAAATAAAGTGTAATAACAAAATATACAAATCAGTCCAACAGAGGTTGCAGCAATAATGATTATGATATTAATAACAACAAAAATAATGAAGAAGTCTGACCTGATGTTTTCTGAAGGTGTGAATCAGAGTACCATTGATATAGTTGATGATGAGGCCAAGAGCCACAACAATCACATTTTTGGCTACAGCTGTGCTGTAGGCGTCTCGATAGCCCAGA